TTTGGTGAGTCCGGAATGGCTGGAAAAAAATGGCTAAAGCTATTTTTAAACCGACATAAGCAAAAACTTTCGATGAGAAGACCCACTGGCACGTCTTTTGCAAGAGCTTTTGGTTTCAGTAAAGAAAAAGTAGACGCTTTTTTTGATCTTCTTGAAGAAGTCTACACTAAGGGTAACTATACTCCGGGGTGCGAAGTCAGAAGTCCTCCACGTGTGCCTGGTAGTTGCGGGTCCCTCTCGATACGTCTGGAGGGAAGAGCAGATACTGGGCCGGTGCACCCTGGGCGCGGCAGTAATCTTCCTCGAGAAATGAGAAGAAATTCTTACTCCTTGGGGAATGGTACTGCCGCGGCTAATTATTCTGACATGGGTGGGATCCGTCCCGGACCAACGGTACGTTCCACTGCGTGACCCTCTGATCAGCAGAGGGCATAGCAGAGGAGTGAGGGCGGGCTCGGCGTGCACTTACCCTGCCTCCGGGCAGACAGTGAAGGATTCATCCTTTGCTGTCACCGCCGGCCTCGTAATCCCAGTATCGAAGTGTCGTGGATCATGTCTCGCGGCTTTGATAGGGACCGAGGGTCTTGGCTTAACCTCCCGGACCGCGAGGGAGAAAACCTCTATAAAAAGTTACCCCGAATCTCAAGCGGCAACGCACCGCGAGGGGATGGATGGCTGACGGGGTTCTATGAACAAATCAGTTGTTAGTGCGCTCCTCGCCAGGGTACCTGCAGACCCCCTGTCGAGTAATAAATCCTCTAAATCTGCTTACCTTGGTAAGGGGTCTCTGCCAAGGTGGACCTTTAATTCCCCCATACTCGTGGGTACAAAAAATGGAAAACCAAGATAAACAAAAAACCAAAACCGCCGGCAACGGCAACGTAGAGGAGAGGAGGAACGATGCGGGGACAGAGTCCGACGCCGCATCGAGCAGCGTGGGAGGCTCAGAGAGCTCCCGACAAGTGGAGCCTGGGACCGCGGAGACCAGCAAGTTCTTCCACAAGCGGTCCAGGCGGGATGGCGACCAGGGGTCGGCATCCGGTGAAGAGGAGGTTTCGGCCCGGAAAATCCCCACCAACAGGCGGGGTGGGCTGAGAGGCAAGGGGAGGGAGCTCTCTGCCAATCAGAGGGCCGAACGAGCGGCAAAGCTTGCCGAGGAGGGGCGCCACCCGGACGATACGGCTCGGGAATCAGGCGAAGAGACAGATGCGACTGGCGGTTCCGAGGTGGAGCGTAAGGCCAGATTCGTAAAGGAGGTGGAGGCCGCGATTAAGGTCGTGGCCAACAAGCAACAGTCCTCCTCGAAATTCAAGGCCATTCCCGCGGCCTCCGCCTCCATCATGGCGGCTGCGGAGGCCAACTTTGCTGGGGCCGGGCCTAATGCGGACGAGGTGGCGAAGCTGCGGGCGGACGTGGCCCGCCTGACGTCCGCCATGGAGACTCTACAGAAGGAGAATGAGAAGCTCCGCGCAGACCTGGCCAGTCTACATGAGCCTGCCTCCCAAAGGGCAAGGCGGCAGCACAAGTGGTGGCTGCGCCAGCACCAGTGCCTGCGGCGAATGGGCCAGCGCCAGCGGCAAGCCAGCTGCCGCCGCCGCCACCGCCCCCCCAGCTCCCTACACCTCCCGCGGCAGAAGCCGGTTGGCAGGTGGTCGGGGACAAACAGAAGAGAAAGAAGGCAGCCAAAAAGGCTAAAGAGCAGGAGCGGCAGCGCCAGTTCAGGGCGCGCAAGATCGCGGCTAGGCTCCGCGCCCCGAAGACCGCAGCTGTAGTGATTACACTACAGCCGGACGCGGAAAAGAAGGGCGTTACCTACCGCGATCTGCTCGCGAAGGCGAAATAGGCGGTGGATCTCGGGGAGCTCGGGATCACTGGGGGCCTCCGGCTTAAAGTCACCCAGACGGGGCCCCGTATGCTGGAGATCCCCGGGGAATCCAGTGGCGCGACTGCGGACGGTCTGGCTGCGAAGCTCAGAGCGTCCCTGAACGCGGACGAGGCCCGAGTGTCCAGGCCCGTCAGATGCGCAGACCTGCGCATCATGGGTCTGGACGACTCGGTATCGGAGGAGGAGTTGGTGGCCGCCGTCGCCAGGTCCGGGGGGTGCACTACTGACCAGGTCAGGTCAGGCGCCATACGCCCGGACCAACAGGGTATGCATGCCGCTACGGTGTGCTGCCCTGTTACGGCGGCCAAAACCATAGTGGAGGGCCGAAGGCTTCTGGTGGGCTGGGTCTCAGCGCAGGTTAAGCTGCTGGAGCCCAGACCTCTGAGGTGCTACCGCTGTCTCAGTGGTGTGTCTTGCCTAGTGTAGTAGTGTTGGGAATAGCGGTGCTGGGATTAGTGGTGACGGAAATAGTGCACGCAATTGAGGGAGGGCGGGAGGTGCTCTTCGTACTAGGTAAGACACATCATTTTATTTTATAACGCGGATATTTGCGAAGTAAATTTTTGTAAAAGCTTTTATATAATGAATTTCCGCAAAGTAACGCCTGATTCTATTAATTATAAAATTTTATAATTTAAATTAATATATGTAAAACAAAACTGTCAATAAGTTAAGCGCAACTGTATGACTGATAATAAATAAGAATAAAAGTTTTTGATTTAGAATATCTTTTTTTTTATAACACAAAAACAAAATGGTATTCCATATTTGGTAACTTTCTTCTAATACCGGTAGTAACTGTGACATACTTTAGTTATAATTTTATATGTGTTTGTGATTTTGTGGAAATGTTTAGCTTTATCTATTATAAGTACTAAAATGTAGAACAGCTCCTTCAACCGGATTACCAGGACCACTCGCAACCCGCCCCCATCAACTCCACCCATGCAGCCACCCACTTCAAGCCAACCAATCAAAGCAATTCCAACTCCTGAGTTACAGCAATGGATGACCACCATTGAACAGTGCCTTAACGAGGTATGCTCCATCGCTACAGACGGACAACTTAACTCCAATCAAAAAATGCGCATCAGCTCGCTTTGTCAAAAAGTAAGCCACGGTACATCAGAGTTGGTAGTCCAGCCCAGACCTCCATCGTATCTCTGCAGAACCAACTTGACCTGTCCCAAAAGCTGCTGGACCTCCAGATTAATATCGAAGAGTCATCAAAACCGGACTCTGGTACCACTTTTGCGGACATAGTCAAAAAAGGTGGCCAAACCCTCATCCGCCCAAACAATGTTAGTACCCTAGAAATTTATCCGAGGGACAAGTCCAAAACCAGTGATGACACGAATTGCCACTTACAAAAGATTATATCTCCAGAAGAACTCAAACTACTTGTCCGGGGTATGAGGAAGGTAAAAAATGGGGGAGTTATAATTAGCGCTGAAAGAAAAGGAGATGTCGACAAATTAAAGGACTCCGAGAAGCTTGTATCTTCTTTCCTTACCACAGAAAAGCCGACTAAGCGACGTCCAAGGATAGCAATTGTTGGTGTCCCTGTATCCCTCGCTGACAAAGAAGTGTCCGAGTGCATCTACGAACAAAATATTGCTGATAATTTTCCCAATGCGACCCGTGAGTCCTTCCTGGCAACAATCAAGGACGAATATATATTATTTGGACCTCATGCCCAGTCAGACTTTACAATAGTAACAAGATTCTTCGACTTCCAGCAGTTTGGACATTCAGTTAAATTTTGTCGGGAAAGTAGCCCTACGTGTAACTACTGTGGAGAGCTCGGGCATTCCTTTAAGGAATATAATAACAAATCGCATGCCCTTGTTTACGCGATGTGCAAACGTTTTAAAATAAAATGCGACCAGAAAACTGGTGATGAAAGCTGTCCAGCACGTAAATTCGCAGAGGACAAATATATCAACTCCACTACTATGAGGGCGCCTATAAGCGCCGCGCAATATTTTATTTACTTAGCTCTTTTAAGAAATTAAAAAGTTTTTTGGCTTCATGTTATTTATATGTTTGGCGAAAGTTCCTAAACTTGCCAATTATTGGTCAAAAGACAATATTACTAGCCATTCATTTCCAAAAACGGACATGTCCCGGAATCGTTGTGAATTAATTTTGCAAATGCTACATTTTTCTATCAACGACAATCAAAACAAAGATGACCGTCTGCATCGTGTACGCGACTTGTTGGATACCCTAAATGAATCTTTTAAGAATAATTACACTCCAGCTGAAGATATTTGTATTGACGAGAGTATGCTTCCTTTCCGTGGCCGAATCATTTTCCGCCAATATAACAAACAGGAAAGTCATAAATATGGCGTAAAAGAGTTTAACCTGTACCCGAATCGGGATGCACATATAAAATAAGCATTTAAGCAGGCAAAAACGATAAACAGAATACATCACCTACGATGTTGTTATAGGTTTATGTTGTGATTTATTGAACAAGGGGCACACGCTCTGTACTGATAATTGGTACACTAATGTGGATTTAGCACTAAAATTAATGGAAAACGAGACACATCTAGTAGGTAAGATTCGAAAAATAAGGAAACAGCTTCCGAAAGATGTAGTATCCGCCAAACTCAAGAGGGGACAATATTCTGCTGCGGAAAGCTCTGATGGAATACCAGTAATAACTTTTATGAAAAGGAAGCACAAACGCGATGTATATGTGCTTTCTACGAAGCACTCTGTTCAGATTCATAATATTACTAAACCCGCAAAAACTATATCAAAGCCCAGAATTCTCGTGGACTATAATAAAGTTAAAGTTGCGGTGGATTTAGCAGATCAACTTGCTGCATATTCTTCACCTTTGAGGACAAGTTTGAAATATACTGCTCAATATGGCTTCAGTAAATGCTTTCATTCTATACCAAAAGGTAACAAGAAAATTTCTATAGCCGGATCCACACCGGACGATCCAAAGCACTCCGATCCAAAAGCACATCCGAGAACGCGCGCTCCTCGCCGCGTGCGATCCATTTTTTGTCGGTTTTTTGGTCACGCACAAAGGGGCCTCAGTCGCTTGGCGCGTGTGGTCTGGACGGTTGTGAGAATAGCGTGATCCGCCGTTATGGATAATTCGCAATGTATCCGTTTAATTTCCCTATATAGGGAGAATAAATGTTTATGGGATCCTAATGATACCAATTACACAAATAGAGGTGTAAGAGAAGATGCCTGGCGGAAAATTAGTCGGCAAATGAACAATATTCCAACAACAGAACAAAAGAAAAAAATGAAGTCTTTGTCGGGTGGCTACAAAAGAGAACGATTCAGAGAAAAACAGAGTCGTATTACCGGATCAGGTAAGAAATTATAGTTCCTTTTGTCTGAGACACTGTGAGCCACTCTTCTTCATTTGATGGCATCTGAAAAAAGTGTAACTATGATTAATATGTTTTGTTATTGTTGCTGTTACAGGAAGAAAGTAATAGCACCACTGGTAGCGGAGAACATGCTATGATTGAAAATGCTCTAGAAAACGTAGACAATCACACAACTGAGAATGTTAATAATCAAATGCAAGATATGAATGATCAGAGTATACCAACTGAACCTTCTGTACCATCTGAACAACCTGCTGCCCAATCTAATGTGCAAAACACCCAACACAATGTTCAAACCCAAAAAAGGAATCAAAATAAAAGAAGAAGAAAAAACATCTTCGCATGGTTTCAAAGATATTATGATAACAGATGAATCCATTTCGGAAGCATTTCAACTACTTCATCAATGTGCTCAACCACAACAACCAGAGACAGATTCATACAACTCTTTTGGACAATACATAGCTACCGAACTACGAAAATATGATCATATAACGTTAACTTATGTAAAACATGCCATATCTCAAATTATTATGTTCTCCAATAGTGAACACAATAAGTCAAATTGATTTTCAGTCATTCGTGCAAAATTAGCTTCAGCTCCATCATCAATTAACTCTTTGTAAAGTCGAGTCCCATATTCCAACCGGTTTTTAAGAATTGTTTTAACCCAATACTGTCTTTTTCGTTTTCGTAATTTTTGCCGTAAATATACAAGTAAAATGTAGCTTGCTGCTGCTACGGCTATTCGTCGCCGTCGTTGCACGTGTGACTCCATAGCCAGGCAAAATTCTACTGATTCAGTATGGAACGGCAGGAGCGCGTTGGAGCAGCCAGTTAGGATTCACAAACGATTGCTGTTGGATCGACCTAGAACGATCCACGCTCCACGCATCACGATCTTGGATCGCGGATCGCGGGATCGCTGATACATGGGGCTTATGGTGAAGCGTAGAAAAGAAATTGTGAAACAATTTTGTTTCACAGAAGCATTGAACACTGTCGAACCAAGACCGAAGAGGTTGACACATAAATTGCTACAGAAAGAACGAAAGAGTAATGTAAGAAGGGCGTGTTCTAACTGCTACAAAGAAAAAATAAAGGTCTTCAGAAGAATTGAAGCAAAAAATAAAGTAAAAAAGTTAAAACATTCTGTGATGATTGCCCTAACAAACCTTTTTTTTTTCTTAGAATGTTTTAATATTGCTCATAAATCTATATAATAAATACTTTAATAACACACATTTGAAGAAAATATGTAAGTTCTCAAAATACGTTCCTATTGAATATTAATTATGTGCTATTTTAAATAAATAACTTCATAAAACAACTGTCTAATTTATTTAATAAACTTGCATACATCTCATTTTCTTTTCCTGTTTTGTGGAGTAGGTCATCAATAAGTCGTATAAGATTATTTCCACAAAAACTTTAATTTTTGGGTGCTGACGTGGATAAGTTAGACTAGGGGGCCACGCTGGTCTAATAGAAGCGTAAAACGCCTAGTTCGGTTGTCCGATGCGGAGAACTAGACGTTCAAATATAAGTTCGAGTGTCGGACAGCTTTGTCTGATATGGCCTGAATGGAATAGATAAGTGCCGTCTGTATTGTCTGACGTGGCCTGAACGAGAGCGTTTTTCTTTCCACCCTAGCGTTATACGTGTTAATATATATTTTTAAATATCTCCATAACATCGCTGACTTCAAATTGATAAGACAGGTCTATTTAGCTTTGTATTAATCCATACTCACCCATGGAATTACTTCCTTGGGTGGTGCTTCTAAAACAGTATTGCCCCCACCCGAGCGAGCTCAGAGAGCAGTTCTAAAGGTAGCCACTTTTCATCCATTCGTGTTTCCTACACATCAAAGTTATATGGCATGTAGTGTACTAACTGTCCGTCAGTTGTTTGTCCTGAACATCATATTAAAACAGCATACCGCAAATAGATGATAATTTAAAAGTAAACTGTCACTGTCACATGTTCTAAGTATTTTTTATGTTATTAGTATTTTAAAATATTTACAGTTTATTACTCCTTATTTATTCTTACTTTTAAGTGGTTTATAACATTCATTGTGGACCTAACTCACCTTAATGCTTAAATTATAGTAAAGTTGCATCACCCTACCACCGGTCACTTTTGTTTATTTTTCGCACCACACAAGAAGATACGTTTTAAAAGAGCAATGTTCACTATTGCTGAGCTAGCTGACATCCAAAAGGAGGCCTTAGCTTCTTTGAACCAACGATGGCAGATTTTAAAGCACTTATTGAAAATCTTCAACACCGGTTCGGGACTTGGAAGTTCTAGCAAAAGACTTTCAAGCTTTTAAAGATAATTTCTGGCAAATAATGACACTACTGCATCAGAAAATTAATGAAGTAAGTCAAACAGTTGACAACATCGAGATGCGGCATCGTAGAAAATATTTGTTGCTATATGGCGTCCCCGAATCCACTAATGAAGTAAATGTTGTGGATACAGTAGTTACTATCATGAAGAATAATCTCCAACAACCTGAATTTTCTTCAAGTTCTATTGTGGTTTGTCATCGTCTGGGTGCAGTTTCTGACAACCGTACAAGACCTGTTCTGATCAGGTTTAGTGATCTTCGCATAAGATCAAACATTTGGGCCAATAAAACGCAACTCAAGGGAACTCCTTATTGCAGACTTCCTTACTCGTCAGCGTCAAGCCTTATTTATAGCTGCACGAAAAAAAAAGATTTCAGACAAGTGTGATCACTCAATGGTAACATTTACGTTAAGCTATCTAGCGGTAAACGACACCGGCTTACGGACAACATAGACCTCGATAAGCTTATCGCTCAGCAAGAAAAATCAGCATTGGATACTCCTTCTGTTTCGACGGATAACAATCTCCCAGAAAATAGCAAGAGTAACAGTGCATCTTAGTCTACAGTGAGGTCTAAACGCGTAAAGCGAAACAAATAGCTCATATTGCTTTAGATTTTTTCTTTAATTTATACTAATTTCGTGTCTCAAATAAGTAAGCTATTGTTGTGTTATCATTTGTCCTAATAATTTTAAGTAGGTATCTTTTTCTTTGATGCCAATTGACATTCGACATTGGCAACTTAAATTTATAATAATCTATGTTGACAACTAAACTATTGAAAACCTAGAATACACAATCGCTACGTCATTGCTGTGAACATGGATTATATAACTTAACTTATGCTGTTTCAATTTACATTTCTGAAGATTGTTATAAAATATTGTTTAGTATATGTTATAATGGCTTATTTTTAATTTGATGCTTAATTTGTCTTTTTCTTTCTATTTCATACCTCAAAACCTGAAAACGAAATTGTACAACCAGTGCGTGTTGCCAGTGATAACTTATGGAACTGAGACGTGGTCCTTCACTGCTGGCCGTATGAGGAAGCTCAAGGTCGCTCAGGAGCTATGGAGAGGGCTATGCTCGGAGTTTCTCTGCGTGATAAAATTAGGAATGAGGATATCCGCAGTAGAACCAGAGTAACTGACATAGCCCAACGGATTAGTAAGCTGAAGTGGCAGTGGGCCGGCCATATAGCTCGAAGAACCGACAACCGATGGGGAAGAAAGGTTCTCGAGTGGCAGCCTCGTACCGGTAGGCGAAGTGTAGGGCGTCCCCCCACGAGATGGAGTGACGACCTGGTAAGACATGCAGGAAGTCGATGGATGCAGGTGGCTCAGGACCGTGCTTTGTGGCATTCTTTGGGGGAGGCCTATGTTCAGCAGTGGACTTGTGAAGGGCTGTAATGATGATGATGATGATGATTATGTGAGTACTGGTTTGTTTAATGAATGATATTACTTTTTTCTTATGATATGCTTGTTATAAAATTGTAAACAGTTGACCGGAGAGAGATTTATGATATACATATTTTTTTAAATATTTATATATTTTATTATTATAATTTATATTTTTATCTAATGTCAGATGATGAATCTTCTTATTATACTTGTAACAGTTCTTCTTCCATTTCGCTTGTGGATGCCATGGATAAGCCTCTAACTTTGCATTCATTAACATGCGTACTTATCAGCAGAGATGATGAGGACTGTAGTGGTACCAATTGTTAAGAGTAAAACTCGTGACCTAAGCCACACGCGCAACTACAGGCCAATCTCTCTAGCCACAGTGGATGCGAAGGTTCCTGACAGTTTGCTTAATACAAAGCTCGACCGGTATGTAAACACTCATGGCAATCAATTTGGTTTTAAACCAGGATTGTCTCCTGAGTCAGCTATCTTGTGTTTAAAGCAAACTGTCAAGTATTACTCCGAAAAGAGCACACCTATTTATGCCTGTTTCTTCGATCTCTCGAAGGCGTTCGACCTGGTTAGTTATGACATGTTATGACAAAAATTAAAGAACATGTCAATGCCTCTCGAACTGATAGAAATCTTCAAGTACTAGTATTTTAACCAGGTCAACGTCGTTCGATGGTCAGGTACTCTGCCGGAGATGTACAGGTTGGAGTGCGGGGTGAGGCAAGGGGAGCTGACCTCGCCAAAGCTCTTAAACCTATAAGTGAGTGCACTGATAGAGGCGCTCAGCAGCACCCGTGTCAGCTGCCATATTGACGGTATTTGTGTCTACAATATTAGTTATGCGGACGACATGGTGCTGCTGAGTGCCTCGGTGTGTGGTCTGTCCAGGTTGCTGGGAATCTGCGAGCGTTACGCGCTGGATCAAGGGTTGCTCTATAACGCAAAGAAGAGTGAATGCATGGTTATTCGGGCCGGGGGGGGGGGGGAGGGTCTGCCCGGAGACTGTCCCACCTATTCGACTGAACGGTGTCGAGTTAAAAAGAGTCTAACAGTTTAAATATCTCGAGCATATCGTGAGCCCTGACCAGAGGGACTATGCGGACATCGATAGGGAGCTGAGGCCGTTGTCTGTGAGGGCCAATATTATCAGCCGCAGGTTTGCTCGTTGCTAGGGCGCCGTCAAATAACTCTTCAGAGAATTTTGT